GAGGAGGACTTTGTAGATCGGTGTTGGACATATGGGCTAATGTTGGACTTATGGGCTTGGGCAGCACTGCGTTGGGATGCTTTCTTAATACATACTTACCCTTTATATAAAACTCTCTCTGATATATGCAAGTTTCTGTGGATTTGTTTCCCTAGTTTACCCAGACTAACACAATGTTTTAGAAACTAAATGCTTTTAGACATTCTTCATTCTCATATTGAACATATACAGCATTCTTCAAAATAGAGATAAGCCTGATCTCCCCAAGAAAAGTCACTGACAAAATCAAACCCCAGGTTCTCAGGCCATTTGTGAACTGTGAGCATCCCACCAAGACTGAATCCCATCAGGCCTTCAAGCTCAAATGCCAGCTCAAGGAGGAGGCCCTGGCTTGTTCTCACATCAACTTACAAGTTAGAGCAGTCACAAAGATATAGTTTCCATTTAATAAGCTCGGAATGTATCTAAGCCTTTCTAGAATCTGCATTTTTAATCTTTCAAATACATTAAGCAAGAACTCAACAGCTACTATGGACTCCCTTCCTCCTTCCTAAATTTATCCTTACACATTCTAGGGACCGTCCTAGGCACTGAAGGAGAACGTCCTTCCAAACTCATCTCTTCAGCCTGACCTCAAACAGCAGCAGTGAGCCCCTCAGTCCCTTGCTAACAGTGAGAGGGCCCTGGCCCACGAGGACCCTGGCCTACGGGTCAGAAAGCTGGGGTTCCAGGCTAGCTCTGCCACACACTCAGTGTGTAACTGCACTAGAGGTTTAGTTTATCAGTCATTTATTTCGAATGGCACCAGAAAGCTGGCGTGTATGGTGGGAAGTAGCTCCAACTTTCACAGTTCTCTTTGCCCTTCTTGGGCCTTTTGGCCACAGCCTCATCTTAAAGATGCCCACAGGATGTCTATTCCAACTCTAATGACTCACCCCTAAACAGCCACGTTCACCCTGCCCACTGGGGAGGCCACACCTATGCAGCCATAGTGGTAAGGTGCAGCTCTGAGAGCAAGGAGCTGGCGGCTCAGTGGGGAAGCGCTGGCCTGCAACTGCAGGTCTGGCAGTGAGAACCTCCCTCCCCACTCTCCAGCCGCTCCAAGGCAGAAAGATGCAGTGGTTGGTTTTTGAACAAAGGTGTATAGCCTTGGAAACTCCATGGGGCAGGTCTCCCTGTGCAATGTGATCTTTGAGTCCGAATGGAATTGACAGTAGCAGGCTTGCATCTGTTTCTAAGAGCCTTCTCTAAGGTTGAACTATATGAAAATGCCAATACCCAAACATTTCTGACATGGAAAACATCTATCTTAGATAGTTCAACTTACTCTATTATAAACTCTAATCCTCCTACCCAACCTCTGAGGTCAGCTCTGCCGATACGCTCAGTTTCCAAATGATGAGGCGAAAGCAGAGAGAAGTTACTAACTCGCTCCTGGCCACACAGCTAGTAAATGATGGGCTGGGACCGAACGCCAGGCTAGGCTCTCTCTCGCAATCGAAACAAGAAGAGGTCGGATGCTGGGCGCGCAGACCAAGGCAGCGTCTATGGAGGAGACGGGCTCACACCACAGGCTCTGCAGGACTGTACCTTTGACTTCGATGGTGGCATTTGCTTTAGTGGTACTTTCAAAGACATAGACGCAGTGGTATTCGCCTGAATCATCAGATCTCGGCTTAGCGATCCTGTCAGGATGACAAGAAAAACCAAGTGAGGCAGCTGGGAGAAGTCAAATTATACAACAAAAAATTCATTGATGGGGCAGCCAGGGACCCTGCTCTCCAAACCATGCCCTTAATCCAGCTCCCCTCCCCTTCAGTAACAGCAGAACCTTTCCCTTTATGTCCCCAAACAGGAAAGCCTCACTCCTTTCTGGATGCCAGGAAGACAGAGATGGAACACTACAGGTGTGCTACCTATGAGGAACAGTAAGCGTGGATAAGCATACCGTCAGAAGCGAGGGCTGTGTACTCTAAGCCTAATGGCTCACTTGGGGGCTCTGGTGAAATAACCCAGAGCCAGAACAGCAGCAAGCCTTTTTTCTGGCCTTCTCTATAGACCTCATTTGCTACATCTGCTCTTCCTGCCTTGTTTGTTAGCACTACCCCTTCCCTAAGCCCTCTCGCTCCCAGGATTCCAAGTGTGACAGGAAAACAGTCAGCTGACAGAGCATCAGCCAGAGGGACGGCAGCCAGACGCAATTCTCCTCGCAAATGGCCTGAGCCCTCCTCCCTCGCCACCTTCTGGCTATGCTGGTGCCCTTTCAGATTTTCTGAGTGCCAAGTGTCTTCCTGCCTCAGCGTCCGCACACAAGCTGTTCCCTCCCATAGAATGCTCTTCTCATCACTGTCCAGCTAACTCTTTCCCACCAGGTCTTGGCTCATGTGTCACTTCCTCCAACCCTTCTCTAAACGTCATCACACTCTCCCCCTCATTCTGCCCCCATACGTCTTTATAAGAGCACCTATCACAATGTGTCATGCACTTATGTGAGTCCTTGATTACTTTTCTATCTCCCCAAGGCAGTGAGTTCAGCGAGGGTGGGCACTGTTTGTTTAGGGGCATCGAGGACAGCAGAGGGTGAAGGAACAAATGAAGGACTGGATTAGCAGGAACCCGTCCTGGCAGAGAGCTGTGCAGAGACCCTGACTGCATGCAGGAGTGACGGGGCTGTAGGAAGTGGACATGGCCAGGCTCCCATGGGCTACCCTCACACTGGCCCACTCTGTGCTCTCTGGCCTCACACAGCACCTGCCTGCCAAGCAGGAGTGGCCGATCCACTAAATCCACCTACAATCCAACAAACTAAGCTGAAAGGTCAACATCAAATCTTGTGGATGCAGGTTAATGCCAGCAGCAAACAACCCCCTCCCAAAGGCTGTATCTACTGGCCTTAATCAGGTGATGATCTTTAAAACTAAGTTTCATGGAGACCCATATATGTAAAGAGTAGAACTGTGCTCCCTGGGGAAGTTCATTTCTTAATATTTTTCATACATACATATATATGTGTGTATATATATATGTGTGTGTGTGTGTATGTATATATATATATAAATAATCCTAGAGCCTTCTTGAACTAGCAAAATGTCTTGAGATTCATCTATGTGACAATACTGTCCACTGTCCTTTTCAAAATAAACTTTATTTTGGAATAATTTTAGATTTATAGAAAAGTTGCAAAGAGCTCCCACACACCCACTTTCCCCACTGTGAATGTATTGTCACAACTAAGATACAACTCCGGTACACTGTTGTTGGTAGGTGTCACTGAATCCATTTCAACTCACAGTGACCAGTGTGCCATTAAAACTGCCCTCCTAGGTTTTTCTAGTCGTGTGTGTGTGTGTGTGTGTGTGTGTGTGTGTGTGTGTGTGTGTGTGTGAATTAAGTGAGGGTTTACAGAACAACTGTTTCCATTTAACAATTCATACACATTTGTGTCCTACCATTGGTTACAATCCCTACAATGTAACACTGCTGACCCCACATCTCTCTCCTCTCCTAACCCTTCTGAACTTTGTCCTTGGGAAAATGCTGCTTGTGATCTCATGTGGCTGCTTATCTGTCCTTCCCCTTACAGATGAGTCTAATTGTGGGTCCCTCAGAAGAGTTTGTTCCCCCAGGGCTGTCAGGAGCAGGCCGCCCAGGCCTTTCTTTAGCGGTGCCTCGGGGTAAATTCCAGCCACTCACTTCTCAGGTCAGTTAGCAGTCAAGTGCTTAACTGTTTGAACCACCAGGGAGCCAAGGATGCTTTCACACATTTCTAAAAGGTCATTCTCCAGGGAATCCACCAGTAGAGAGATGACTTAAAGAGTCCCAGCACAGATTTCTATCTGATTCCTCAAACTACTGAATGAGTCTGACATCCTAATTGTGACGCCTATGGACTAGCCTGTGACACAGAGCACAACTCTCCTTCTCCTCCATGCTCTGTAAGTGGTTCCCAAACCCCAATGCTACCACCCCAGATACGCTGGATTAAGGCTCTCCCATGGTCACACTCATCTCGTGGTCTGCCCAGAGAGCACGCTAACAGATTATAAATAGTATGTTAGCTCAGTGACCCCGCCCACCCCACCCTCCACGTGCCCACCGCTGCTGGTCCCTCTCACCTGTACTCCATGTTGCTGGCATTCTTACGAGTGGCCGTCAGTTCTGCCCCGTTCTTTGTCCAATAGCTGTGTGTAAGGGTGTGAGAGCTGGAGGTGAGGTTACACTGCAGGGTGATGGGGGGAGCAGGGAAGCTGTGAAGAGTGATCTCCTCACTGGTGACAATCCTTGGCTCTGTAATAAGAGTAAACAGTGATAGAGGGCCATAGCCTTCCATCCTCAGTAGCCCTGGCCTGAGTGCTGGAGGGGGTGGGAGGGGGAGACTAGAAGAGGGAGGGCAGACAGGACCACATGAGGAATTTCACTTTACCACTTTGGAGAAGAGTCGAGAAAGAAAAAAAACAATGATTATAAGCAAATGACCACTAGCGCAGACAACAGCCTGGAAGACCAGTTGGCCTAGACGTGAGAGAATGGGAGCATTACAGGGGCTTGACTGGTTAACAATCCATGTAGGCTTTTGAATACCACCTTTTCGTAATGTGAGAACCACCAACCGAGTCTGCTGCAGTTCAGCAAAACCAGGCTCCACCTTGGAGTTCTGAAGACAAAGGCAGTTATCATTTATAGAAGTCATCAGCTCCCTGTGGAGTTGCTGGGCCTTGGCACAGTAATAGGTATAATTACATAATACACATAGGGCTGTTCCCGCATTTAAATCTGCTGAACCATCTATGGTCAACCAGCCAAGGCCATCAGTTATGCAGAAAATGAGTGTAAATTCTGAAAATTAAGCTTCCCCGCTGGAAGCCTGTTACAGGTTCCTGAATTTTGCCAAGGCAGAAGTCTGAAGGACCTATCGATTCCAGCATTCATATTCCCCAAATAAAACAAATATTTTTCCAGAATTGCTCCTGAAAACACATTCTATTCTGAGCTAATCACACCCAGTGTGCAATGTGTTGTCATCATGGGTCCTGGAGCTCACTGAATCCCGGCTCTTTTAGAGCGGGAGAGGTGAAACGCCCCGCTCAAGGCCACGATTATGACCCGTGACAAAGCTGAGTCTAGAAAGCACATCTGACAATAGAGTTCTCTTCTCTATCCTTGTCCCCACTCCAGAACCACCCCCACCTTCCACCCCAGTGCAAGGTTCGTAACTCCAGCCTCCTGATTCTACCTGGGCTCGATTACCTGGGACCATTCCGTCAGACATACGATAGCCTACTTGAGTAGACCTTTTTAAGCCACACTCATCACTTTTAGAAAGTTCGCCTTTATTTAATACACTTTGAAAGCCATCACTAGCATTAAAGTCATGATGTCTTCAACAGTTGTTATCTGTCTTTAATCTTTTCCTGACTTGGTTCTTTCCCTACTTTGCTCAAATAGTTATCAGGTGAGATCTCAGCTAACCTCTTCCCCGGTCCAAATGAGGAGTTAGTTGTCCTTTTTATTTTCCATTCTTTTCTCCAAAGTCCTGGGCCCCATGACAGCTACCTGGGAAGGTTTTATGCTGTTAGTGCTGACTCTGAAACTCCTGGGGGAAGACCTCCCTCTCTCCCTCCCTCCCTCCCCTCCATTTGCTCATCTTAGAGAGGGGAGCGTCCAGGGCTGTCGGGGGACCCTGGGAAGCTGCAATGCCAAGGGCCCTCCCATCGATGTAACTGTGCTGGCTGTAGAGCCAACAGCGTCTAAGACACTTGCAACAGAAAAACCCCGAAAATCCTCAGGTTTGCCCAGTCCATGAATCTGTTCTAACTATGTTCCAACTCTGGCAAAAATACAGTTGTTGTCTTCCATTCGGCACTGGTCCTTACTGGTAACACCAAACAGGGTCTCTATGTACAAATAATGGAGGCAGAGCAGCCACTAAGACAGAAGCAGATGCATGTAGACACGTTAGCGCAGTGGTGTCCCATGGTTTCCAAAACACACTGGACAGAAGCCAAGTCCCTGGGCCTTAAGAAGTTGAGCAGAACGGCTGTGAACCCTGCAATGGAAGGCGCACACACACCATCAGCAGAAAGCATCACAGTTCCAGGGGAACTCAAAACCAAGCAAAAACGAGTGAGAGAGAGAGAGACCAGTACAAAAGAGGAATTTTAAAAATAGAAAGGCAACATTAAAACCCAAACACACTTGCAGGCTTTTGTACTGAAAGGTTATCATCCAATTTCATTTCCTGTCCCACTTGGGACTCTCCTTCTGGTTCTTCCCCTCAGACTGCACTGAGAAAGGGGGAACTAGAAGAATGAGGCCAAGAACTTCCAGATGTTTAAATGCAGGGAGGCCAAAGTAAAGGCTACTCTTACCTGTGGCGAGGCAAATGACCACAAATGGCGATGCAGCTTAGGGAGGTTAACAAACTGATGGAAGCAACCTGGTAGATTGTCAACCAAGAATTCTTAGAAGGCAAAGAAAAGCAGCTTTACTTTTAAGGGTTAAGGATTTGGGAGTATGTCAGCCGGGAGAAAGGGGTCACGTAGGTTTAACTATGACTCTGCAGAAGAGGAGGGTTGGGGTGGGTGTTACCTGCCTCTCATGATGGCTGTCTACAGAGGCCATGGACCCAGCTCTCTGGCCTCTGTCCATGCCACATCTGCACTCTGTGCCAGCATGAAAGTGGGGCTCTCTTTCCTGGGGCTGCGCAGTGAAAATGCAAGAGATGAACGCTTAGGCAAAGCCCACCGACTCCCGTTTAGAGGCAGCAGGGAGGAGGTCCTTGCCCTGGCCACCATGCGGACCAGGAGGAACATGCTGCACATTGGTAATGCCTGCCCTACGCTGTCATTCTAGACCGAAGACTTCAATTCTCCCCTAGGAGCTGCCGTCCTTGGGGATGCTAAGATCAAACGGTCCAATTAGAGTTGAATTCAGAGAGATTTTAGAAGGGAAAGCAAAGCAGTAGGGCTAGAATTGACAGGTAGGGCAGTCTGTGCCAGGGTCTGGATCAATTACATGTAAATATCCCTAAGCTAGGAGGCCTACTTCCCACTGACCCAAGGGGACACTAGCTCTTTCTTCAGGTTGGTATGTGGGTACCCCAAAGTCACATCTTCTTTCTAGTCCTCGGATATTGCCTTTCGAGCTGTAAGTCAGGCTCCTGAAAGTCCACAGAACCAAATGCCCAGCCTAGTCCATGTCTAAAACCCTCTACAGACCTTTGTGGCCATCTGGGTAATTCTGTTTTCTAAGGAAAGGAGCAAGGGGGGCAGGAAAAGGAGGCGTGCGAGGGAAAATTTGTTTAAAAAAATAATAATAAAAAGAGAGAAAGATTGCTGGGTTAATGTTCCCCATTTCCACACAGACAGGGTTTCTCTTCCCCTTTCCAGAAGCAGGCGCTCTGAGTCCACAGAATCCCTGTAACAGCCCTTCCTGCTCACCTCCAGGCCTCTTCTTCACAGGGAGAGCCTCTGAGCTGCCTCAAGAAGCAAGTCCATATTTATTAATTTCTGTGACAGAATACAGATTTGGAGTCTGAGTCCAAATCTGTGTAAGTCTTCCTCTTAAATGTAATTTTACCACTTCTGTGTATTCTCACTAAATCCATCAGTTTGTTAAGCTTGGATCTTGAGAGCAAGCGCTCACTGAGTCCTTGCAGAGCCGGTGAAGAATCTCAAGGATCTTTCCATTAGACACTAGAAGTCAAACGTATTGCTACAGAAATCATGGAAACATTCATGGCAAGAAAATATTAGAGTGGGAGCTGGTGTTTCTCAGGATCTCCTCTATCTCGGTCTATACACTTGTCAAGGCAGTATGGGCTTTGCCCAATGAAAGCCTCGCAAGCCAACCCCTGCTCACCTCAAAGAAAAAGCAGGTGCATTGGCACCATGAGAAGAAAAATCTTCACAGTTTACTGGCCTTTTCCCTCCACCAATGCAGTTTTCCATTTTCTAAGTTTCTTCATAATAACCCCCCTGATCATCCTGTGTCCTTTGAGAAAATCTATCAAGATTGCACCTTTGGGATCCCCAAAAAACAGCTGCCATAACCTTCTGAGCTGACCTCTCAGCCTTGAGTTTAGCTGGTCCACCAAACCCCCTTGAAAGCCCCTGTTTGGATGGGCCTTGTCTTTGAAGGGACTCTTGAGAGACTAAGACCAGTGTATGACTGACAGAACTTGTCTGCAGTTATCCACGGATGCCTCCGCATGTTTAGACATGTTTTGGCATGGACCTGTGCATGAATGAACTGGAACTCTACTAGCAATACTTCTTGAGTTAGCCTTTTAGCAACTTCTCAACGAGAACCAGGTGTGATGTGGAGCTAGTTTCCCCGTTGACAGCACTGGCTGGTTGGGGGCTTCCCACTTCCTTTCTTTTCGACTGCTCGTGAGTCACTTTCCAAGGAGGGAAGTGCCAACAAAATGCTGCTATGGCTGAGATCTCACTTGGACCTACTAGCATCGATGAAGGAACGGCTCCTGAGCCAGCTCCACTCACCCAGTCACTCAAGCGAGCAGGCCTTAAAATATATATATCTACCTTGCAACTAGGTGTCACCTGGCTCCTCTCCTCTAAAGAAGCACAGGGCAAACCTCCAACTGTTGCTTTTATGAGACCAGGAGGCTCGAACGAGCAGGGCCAGTGAGACGGGCTGCGACAGTGGAGGACTGTGGTCAGAGAGAAGCGCGAGCCATTGCTTCAGGAGAGAAACAGCTGGAACTATGGGACAATTCAAGCATGCATGCCCCCCCCAGCAACCACAACACACCACCACACTGCGCCCATGGCCACATTCCCACTACACAAGATGACACCAAGTCACACGGAGGGAAGGGCGAGGCAGACACAAACTGAAACCCACAAACCAGAGGTGAAGGCGGCTACTCAGAGAGCTTCAGACAGGTGCACAGGAGAAATACAAAGTTGTTAGACTAGGGAGAGAAGCAAACACAGAAAGGCACCGGAGAAGAAATCTGCCAAGGGAGAGCAGGAAACCTAGTACAAAAGTAAAGGGGGAGAAACCATTTCAACACTACCCTGCTCCACACTGCCTACTTTTAGAAAAGGTTGTAACTTTTTTTTTTTTTTAAGTAAAACTTCCCCAGTTCTCCCTCCCCTACTTCTACTTCTGCCCAACACAGTTGAATTTGGACAGTCCTGGATCCCCCCAGTTCTTTGTTCCTGAGGAGAAAGACACAGAGAAGGGATGGGGGTGGGCGTGGGGGGTGAATGAAGTAGAGAGACAGAGGAGGTGGGGAGGGGAAAAAGTCACCGCACATGTTTTTATACACTACAACCGGAAGGATCGTGGGTTTGAAAAGAAAAAAAACAAACAAAACAAAATGAAGACAAGGGGTGGGGAAAGTGATTATATAGGGGAAGAGGGAGAGGAAGCAGGGGAAGGTGCATCGGGCCACCTCTAATGACTACAGTACCACTACTGTAGGGTGCTGGACTCACTCTGCAGGACGCTTATGGTGGCCTGGGCTCGAATCCATGTTATGGAGGGGTTTTGCCTCAAGTCATTCCTCTTGGGGTCGTTGCTGGCCCTGCACTCGTAAGTCCCAGAGTCCTCCAAGGTGAGCCGGGTAATTCTCAGCACACTCACGCCGTTTGACCCGTAGGCGGTGTTTACGGTGACACGGCGCTTCCGAGCACCGTCCCACAGCTGTCTGAAAGACTCTGCCCGGTTGACTTCCGCGTACCACCACTGGATCTCTGGCGTGGGGCTCCCGACCACGTCACAGTACAGCTCAAAGGCGTCCCCCGTGAGCTTAGTTTCTGACATGGGCGACTTGACAAACCCAGCTAGAGGGAGGGGGAGCAGGAATGCAGTGACAGGCCAATCAGAAAAAAAAAAAAAAAAAAGAATCAACAGGTATTAATAGTAATTTAACAAAAAGAAAAGAAAAAGGGAAAAAAATAAAAGCAAATGAGTTGCAAAGAACAAAAACGGATTCATTTTTAAACTATAGAGAGACAGTAATAGCAATTCATACAAGCTCTGAGAAGAACCGTCCTGGGAAGCTTATGAAGCAAAGGCAGGCTGGTCACAAGCTGGGGCAGTCCCGTGCCGGCCAGGCAGAAGCAAGCCCCCTGGAAAGCGCTGAGCAAGGGCCTGGCTGGAAGGAGGAGAAAGTCATGGGCTCCAGGGAAGCCTCTTTCTCAGAGCACACACCGTTACCTTTCCAAACTCAGGCAAGTGATGAAAGATAACCGGAAGCAGCGGCAGGTTTCTATACCAAGTCAGGCCCTCTTTTCGGGAAGGGTAAACACTTGGTAGACACATAATGTCTTTGTGAGCCTGGGCAAGGAATGTTAACTGACTTATGGGCAGCTTCTCTTGGGATTCAGGCTGGAAAGGTTAATGGATGTTTAGCTCAGACTTTCCCGGCATCCTACTTGTCCCTGGGTATAAGGCCCACAGCCCAGTTGTCTGTGACTAGGGAGTATATACCTGAGTGTAGGCCCTAAGGCACAGGGGGAGGGGAGAGAAGAGGGGTGGTTTGCTTCCAACCACAGTGAGGATCATCACAGGGCCTCTCAGGACTGGACCCGTCAGTAACCGCAACCCAACTCACTGCCAGTGAATGAAGCCATCATCCCAGCAGTCCACACCACTAGAAACATGTCCTGGTAGGCTTTCCTATTATAATCCCATTGGCTGCCAGAAGCCAGCTCAACAAACTCTCAGGTGACAGCGAGGCCTCCTCCAGCACTGAGATGCTGCCCAAGAACTGCAGAGGATGCTCACTTCCACCTGCCCCCAGTCCACTCAGGTTACACTTCCATGAACCACCACGGCATTGGCAGAAAGAGTCGGAAAACCCCAGGCTAGTTTGGTTGGAGTCACAGAAAAACAAAACCCAGTGCAAGCATGCTCTCCCACCCATCCACTCTACCTCAGGCTTGTGGGGCAGGCCTAGCCAGTCTGGTCAGTGTCCTAAGGTGCCAGGCAACTAAAAAAGGGTACTGTGGGGGAGGGGGGGGGCGAAGTGGAGACCCAAAGTCCATTAGTAGGCCACTGGAGATCCCCTTGCAGAGCGGTCTCGGGGAGCAGACGAGCCAGACAGGGTGCCATGTACCAACGATGAAAAATACAACTTTTACCTAATGTCGGGGGGTTAAGTGGAGAGAAAATGTTTTGAGAATGATGTACAAATGCACTTTACACAATTGATGTGTGTATGGATTGCGATAACAGTTGTATGAGCCCCTAATAAAATGTTTAAAAAAAATAGTTATATAACCACCACAAAAACCCAAACTTTTCTCTAGTTCCTAAATGCTTCCTCCCTCCCTCCCCCTGCCCCAGTATCATGATCCCAATTCTCAGTATCATGATCCCAATTCTACCTTGTAAGTCTGGCTAGACCAGAGGATGTACACTGGTTCAGATAGGAACTGGACACACAGGAAATCCAGGGCGGATGATCCCTTCAGGACCAGTGGTGTGAGTGGCGATACTGGGAGCATAGAGGGAGAGTGGGTTGGAAACGGGGAACCGATTACAAGGATATACATGTGACCTCCTCCCTGGGGGACAGACAACAGAAAAGTAGGTGAAGGGAGACGTCCGACAGGGCAAGATATGACAAAATAATAATTTATAAATTATCAAGGGTTCATGAGGGAAGGGGAAGTGGGGAAGGAGGGGGAAAAAATGAGGAGCTGGTGCCAGGGGCTTATGTGGAGAGCAAATGTTTTGAGAATGATGAGGGCATCATTTTGAGAATGATGAAGAATGTACAAATGTGCTTTACACAATTGCTGTATGTATGGATTGTGATAAGAGTTGTAAGAGCCCCTAATAAAATGATAAAAAAAGAAAAAGGGTACTGTCAGTGGCAGGGCAACTTCCCTTGGAAAGTCTGGCTCATGATCCATGCCTGCCCCTCTGCAGTGAACAGAGTGGGGCCAGGACCTGCCAGCATCAGACAGAGAACATCCCAGAGGAGGTGGATGAATCAACTCAAGCAATTTTCCTTTTGTTCAAAAGCCAAGGACGTATCGCCAGGCTGGTTAAAAATGGAGGGTAGGAAATGGAGATGTTTCTGTTTATATCAACACTTTGGGAGATAAACCCCACTCCATGAAACTAAAAGTAGTAAAAGTTAACAAATAAATAAAATAAACACAGATGCCACTCAGTCTGCTATGACTCAGGAAAAGCCCTGGTGTGTGAGAGGTGATTGGTTCTTCATAGGGTTCCCAGTGGCTGGTATTTTGAAAGTAGACAGCCAGGCCTTTCTTCCAAAGTTCTAGGTGGACTAAAACCTTGTGGTTAGCAGCTGAGGGTATGAACTGTCTGTACCACCAGAGCCCCCAAGAACGGTAACTAACACCAAACCAAACTCACTGCCGACTCAGAGACCCTGTAGGACAGGGTAGAACTGCCGCTGTGGGTTTCCAAGTCTGTAGCTCTTTACCTGGTGGACTTGAATTGCTGGCCTTGTAGTTAGCAGCCCAAGACGTAACTACAAGGACACCAGACTCCAAGAATGGTAAAAAGGATAATAGAGGTCAAGACCTCCCAACATGAACTGGAGTCTTTCAGTGAATGAAAGGTTGAGGTCTGGTAAGGGCAGGAGTGAGCATTAGCAGGCTGAGATGAAGTGTTCCGCCTTAAAAAGACCATTCTATACCACCTCTTCATATCCAGTGTCAGTTCCTGGTTAAGAACTATCTCCCAGAGCCCTCCACAAAGACAAAGTGTTACAACTCTCAGACACCAACAAGTTTTAGAATTGCAACAAAGAAAAGCCACACCCTGCTTGAAGTGCTCACTCCCCATAGAGTAGGGCCTAAGGAGCCATGTTGGCAGTCAGGCCTGCACACTGCCATCTATCTGCCCACCTGTTAGGCGGCAAGCCAACTACCAGGGAGGGAGCAGGGACAGGAGCTGGCCGCATTCATTTCACCACTGGGTCCATCCCCAGAGAACACAGGAAACCCAGAAATCCTTAGAGAGGTAGCACATGGGAATCACAAATGGTTTTTCCTCTCACATTCTCTATGAGCTTGAGGAGTGCTAGTCTCGCAAACATGCCCTTAGTGATGCCCTGCAACATTTGTTACTAGGCTTGGTTTGCATTCTTTTTTCCTTCCTGAGTTATGCTTCAAAGGTTTATACTTCAGCGTGTCTATCAATCTTGCAGCAGCACCAACATAAAAGCAGTCAGTGTCTGCAAGTCTGTTCAGAACTGCACAGAGTTCACTAATTCCAGGGCAATCCCACAGCCCAGCACCGGAGATGGCTGGGAAACTGCCTGGACACTTCCCCCACTGGGCAGAACCACGTCAGACACCCAAGCTGGCACCACCAGTACGCAAGAAGAGGAGGGAAGGAGGAAGGAATGCTGCTTAATTTTCCATTTCTGAGGAGAAAAATGAGTCGACATCAGAAACGTTCCTTGAATCACTACGTTATTTGATGTATACTTAAACCAGCTCATTAAGAAAGGGGGAACCGATCACAATGATTAATATGTAACCCCCTCCTAGGGGGACGAACAACAGAAAAGTGGGTGAAAGACAAGTGTTTGGTCTAAGACATGAAAAAAAAAAGTATAAATTATCCAGGATCCATGAGGGAGGGTGGGAAAGGTGAAAATGAGCTATGATATCAAGGGCTCAAGTAAAAAGAAAATGTTTTGAAAATGATGGCGACATATGTACAAATGTGCTTGACACAATGGATGCATGCATTGTATTAAGAACTGTAAGACCTCCCAATAAAATGATCAAAAATAAAGCTGAATATAAATAACAGGGGAAAAATTCTGAAAACAACAATTAATATCTTTCTGTACTCTCTTCGAAGGTCGTAACACCATGAGGTCGATTCAGAAAGCTCACGGCAAAATGTTTTTTCGTTCCATTTTCCCATAAACTTTTTGTAGCCCCTCCCCCCTTTACAGGTACCCATTGCTTATCTGGCCATGCTACCTCTGAGGATAGTATTTGCACTGGTGGCCACCTGAGAGGATGTTCCGTTTTGTGATTCAGGGAAAGCAACTCTCATGCACAGCCTTGGAGACTGTAGACAGGGTGCTGCTGTAAGTTGGAATCAATTTGATGGCAGTGGGCTTTTGGGGGTGGTAATGGTTTCAAGGGCGCTCTGCTGGACCAGCAATTAGTAAGCATTGGGCGAGTAACAGGAAAATCAGGGGCTCAAATCCACCCGCCAACTCTGAGAAAGGTGGGAGGGCTAGCTTTCTAAGGAACAATCCTAGTTTGTTCTAGAGCAGCGGTTCTCAACCTGCGGGGTCGAACGACCCTTTCACAGGGGTCGCCAGATTCATAACAGTAGCAAAATGACACTGATGAAATAGCAACAAAAAATAATTTTATGTTGGGGGGGGTGTCACCACAACATGAGGAACTGTATGAAAGAGTCGAGGCATTAGAAAGGTTAGGAACCACTGTTCTATAGGGTGATATGGGTTGGAATGGACTCATTGACAGTGGTTGTTTTTGTTTATGGGGTACTACTTTGTGTTTAGTTTGAATGGTCCCAAAGGCCTCAAGCCCAGACCACTGTAGCACTGGACTCCGAGTGGGATATACTCAGGTACGGCAAAGGACAGACCCTTGGGTTCTGCAGGACAAACAGTTGGGGGCGTTTCGGTGGGTGGTGCTGGGTGTACTCACCTTCAGAGAAAGTATTATAGGCATCAAGGGATGCATACGTTTAGCTGTTACCATTTATTGGTAGCTGTTACTGTTGTTGCTATTGGTAGCAGTTGTTAGTAACCTTGTTTATCAACCAGTGGGTAACATTCTGTTACATGTGTTTGGCAGTATGT